CCCACAGCCTTGGACTAGGGCAGACCTAATTAGGCTAATTTCAGTTTCCTAAGGGAAAGAAAAGAACAGAATCCTCCAGTTCTCTGATCCTCCCTCTGCTGCCTCCCTCCCACCCCCGTCCCTACCGTCTACCTCCTTCGTCTCTCTCCTTCGTCTCTTTCTGATTGGACAATGACGACATCTGCGAGCTGGCCCCAGAGGGGGTTGGGCGAGGTTTTAGCCTGCAAAGGTACTGCTGTACTTGCATGTCTTAGAAGAGAATGATGATTCTGGATGCCTCCAAAGGAAGACTCTCTTCTACCTGTCAACATTAAGAGTTGATTTAGTCGCATTCCCACTGTGTGCCAGGCACTGTGCTGGGTACTCCTTCTCCGTTATCTCATGGAGCCTTTACCATAACCCTATAAGGAGATAGTCCCAGTATCCCCATTTTATAGACGAGGAAACTGAGGATCAGGAACTAAGTTGCCGTGGATGGGTGTGCCGGAGGTGGGATGCTATTCGTCTCACTGATGGGATAGATGGATTGGAAACTTGTACCAGGTCAGCTGGTTGCTCTTTAGGTTTTCCGTGCCCTCTGTTTATATCTTCCTTTTCCTGCTTAGTTTCAGGACTTTCGTGGTTAATGTTATGTCAAAGCTCCAACCTGTGTCCGTTGTGCTGGGGAGATCCACACAGGAGGTGGAACTAACACTTAGAAGTTACTATGTGCCAGTCATGTTACCGCTTCTGGTCTTTCTAATAGCTATCTAAACAGGCATTATTATACCCACTTTACAAATGAGAAAACTGAGCTTCAGAGAGCTAAAGTAGTGACTGATGGCCACCTAGCCAGGTAGTGATGGAACAAGATTCAGACGTAGGTCCGGGGTTGCTGGACGGTTGCAGGTAGGTGCCGGGATGGAGGCAGGAAATACTGGGATCATGGAGACAAACAATGGCAACATGAACAACAATGATGCTAACAATTACCAGTTACAGTACCATTTAGAGCCTCCTGCTTCTGCCAGGCAGTAGCCAGGCATTTTATAGGTTTGGTTTCAAAGTGGCTTGAGGTATAGAAACACTTTGGTTGCAACATCACCGGATACCGAGAGTTTGCTGTGCATCAGGCCTGTGACCAAGAGCTTTAGTGCTGGCTCCTCTGAACAACTTAAGGAAGTAGGTACTATCATGAGCTCCATTTGACAGATGAGGTGAAGCATCTAGTTGAAGGCCACAGGAACAAGAAATGGGAGCTGGGTGTTACCCCCAGCTTGCTTGCTCCAAACACCATGTGACAGCCAGAAAGGCGTCTTCTAGACCCAACACTCACTCATAAGAAAACCAGACCAGGGAGGATGAGGTGTGTTGTCCAAGGACAGCAGCAGATGCCAAAGCCAAGACTAGAACCTGATCGTTCAAAGCTGCATTCGCCATCCTGGGATCCTACCTACTGCCCGTTCAGCTGACCTAGAGTTTATGGGATCTTTGTTTGTGGGTTTTTTTTTTTTTTTTGAGACAGAGTCTCACTGTGTCACCCAGGCTGGAGTGCGGTGGTGTGATCTCAGCTCACTGCAATCTCCATCTCCGCGGTTCAAGCCATTCTCCTGCCTCAGCCTCCTGAGTACCTGGGATTACAGGTGCGCACCACCATGCCTGGCTAACTTTTGTATTTTTAGTAGAGACGGGGTTTCACCATGTTGGTCAGGCTGGTCTCAAACTCCTGACCTTGTGATCTACCCACCTCGGCCTCCCAAAGTGTTGGGATTACAGGCATGAGCCAACGCACCCAGCCAGTTATTTGTTTTTCTTTAAGGAGAGACCTGGGCATTTTAGAGGAAGGGTTTGGCTAGGAGACCCGTTAGTTAATTGACTGGCTCCTAAGAGCTCAGCCCTGAGGCAGACATGAAAGGCACGGAAGAGGTGGCTCCTGCCCTCAATTTATCTACAAAGTCCTCTGTTGAAGGTTCTGAGGGGATAAAATTAGAATTCCGTGTTCTCTGCTGAAGGCCAGTGCATGTGGCTATTGTGATGTCCTGGCTGCTTCAGAATAGATTGCAAGGTGGGCAGAGGGGCTGATTTAAGAGGCTTTCAAAAACCCCACAGCTCCAAAGTACCTCCCAAAGTCTGACTCCAAAATGCCTGACTTTCCATCACTGGAGAGTCCCTCATTGGTGTCCCTGGGCCCCCATCACACCAGCTGCACCAAATCCCATCTAGTGTGAAGGCGATCAACGGACTCTTTACCGATGAGCAGCCTGAGAGCCCATAATTTCTAGAGTGAGGATGAAGGGGTCAGTGCAGGCTGGAGCACAGAGAGGACCAGCTTCCCCTCTTGACAGTCTCTCCACGAGCAGGCTATGGCAGACAGGCTCATGCATCCTTTATCCCAGGACAGAGAAACTCAGTGTCCCCAAACAGGGAATGCCAGTGCTGGCTGAAATGACAGGTTTAAGTTGGAGAGGGCTCATGCTTCTGCCTGAGCCGGGACGCTAGCCCTCTCAGAAGTAGCCTCTCCACATTCGTGTAGGGGGTTCCTGAGGCTGGAGGCCAAGTCCTGGCTCTGGCTCTTGTTTTCCACATGACCCTGACACCTCACCTTCCCAGCCTCCATTTCCCCATCTATAAAATTAGAATCCTCCCAGACTGTCATGTGAATTATATGAAGTAAGTTAGAGCTTGTTGAACCTTAAGAAGGACTCATGAGCCATCTCATCCATCCATCCATCCATCCATCCATTCATCCATCCATCCATCCATCCTCCATCTATCCATCCAGCCATTCATACTTCTCTCCTTCCCTCCATCCATCCACCAACTCCTCATCCATCCATCCATCCATCCATCCATCCATCCATCCATCCATCCATCCCTCCATCCATCTACTCCATCCTTCCGTCCCACTATCCCTCCCTCCATCTGTCCATCCATCCCTCCATCCATCCACCCAGTGCTTATTTATGAGCACCTACTGTGTGCCAGGAACACTGTGGCTGCCAGGAGAGCAGTGAACTTGAGAGAGGCTCCCCTGCCCTCCAGAGTTTGTATTCTAGTAGGGGGAGACCGACAAAAATAAGTGCATATATAAGATCATTTCAGAGAGTGCCAAGGACTATGAAGTAAATAAAAAAGGACTAATGAGATGGGGTGGTGATATTTGAGCTGGGACATGCGTCACTCTATACCTAGGTCAAAGTAGGTCAGAAACTACTGGGATGAAGAAGGAAGCCTAAAAGCATTTCTAGCTTGAATCATGTCTGCTGTGTGACCACGGTCAAGCTGCTTAACTTTCGAGCCTCAGTTTGTTTCCCCATCTGTAAAATACAGGCAAAGGTGTGTCTCTCATGGAGTAGTCGTGAGGATTCAGTGAGATAATATATGCAAAATGCTTCCCACATTGGCATTCAATAAATGTTAGTTACTAGCTATAATTAATAAAAGTACTACGAATAAAAGACATCTCAAAATAACCACCTGCCCCACCGAGGTCCTGGAAGATCACAGACTCCTGGCTGAGAAAGTAAGCACTTTCACACCTGCCCTGTGGGAGGGACTCTGTACAAGTGTTTGTTGTTTTTGTATTTATTTGATACTCCATCCTTGGCACTGCTGTTACCACTCGGCCAGAGAGCCTTGGAGTTTCAAGACCAGCTGGTGGACCCTCACTCTCGGTCCCGCCCTGCATCCCCCATATCCAGGTCACCCACCTTTCCTATCCTAGGACACCCTAGGGACAGGAGAGCATGGTGTCTATTTCCTAAGTCAAACCTCAGAAAAGTGAGGCACCCAGGTATGTTATGTGTCCCTTCATCTGGCCAGGGGCAGTGCCAGGTTATTTATTTATTTATTTTTTAATTTTTTTATTTTTTGAGACAGAGTCTCGCTCTGTCACCAGGTTGGAGTGCAGTGGCTCAATCTCGGCTCACTGCAACCTCCACCTCCTGGGTTCAAGCCATTCTCCTGCCTCAGCCTCCCAAGTAGCTGGGACTACAGGCACGCATCACCACGTCCCGCTAATTTTTGTATTTTTAGTAGAGACAGGGTTTCACCATGTTGGCCAGGATGGTCTCAATCTCTTGCCCTCGTGATCCACCTGCCTCGGCCTCCCAAAGTGTTGGGATTACAGGGGTGAGCCACCGTGCCCAGCCCAGTGCCAGGTTATTTCTACAACACAGCATGTGTTGGTTTGGTTTTTTGTGTGTTTGTTTTTTCACTTTTTAAATTTTGAAATAATTGTAGATATACAGAAGAATTGCAATGATAGTACAGAGAGTCCTGTACACCCTTCACCCAGCTCCCCCGATGTTAATATTTTACATAACCACAGTACAATGATGAAAACTAAGAAACTGCATAGGTGGGGTTTTACATTTGTATTCCATACAAAGTCCAGGGAGGACGCAGCTCACCTCAAATGAGTCCCAGATACTTTTTGTGGCCTTTTTGAAGCCATTTCATGACCAGTTTTTTATTTGTCTTTCCCAAGGAATTATTACTGGCCCCTCTCTTCACTCCACTGACAGATGAGGAAACCAAAACCCAGACAGATACATTTTCCAGCAAATAGGGCCAGACTAGGCCTAGAAGCCCTAACTTTCAATCCCCAGCCTGTGATCTCCCCACATCACAACACTGCATTTTATTTTTTCTTTCTTTCTTTTTCTGTTGTTGTTTTGTTTTATTTTGTTTTGACACGGAGTCTCATTCTGTTGCCCATGGTGAAGTGCAGTGGCACAATCTCAGCTTACTGCAACCTCTGTCTTCTGGGTTCAAGCAATTCTCCTGCCTCAGCCTTTGGAGTAGCTGGGATTACAGACCCATCATGTTCCACCTCACTTCACTCATCTGCCCACTCATTCATTTATTCATTCATTCATGTTCACACTCACACTCTGGGACTCCTGCAGCAGAAGCAAGAACCCAGAGAAAGCACCACCCAGGGCCCTGCAGTCAGGTATGGGCAGTCTCTCTTGCATTCCAGCCTCTGACTCACTTTCCTTTGTCATTTTCTTCTGCAGAATTCTCCACTCTGGTGGCTGAAAGCTAAGAAGCACTGACTGCCCCAGGTCTTCCACCTCTCTGCCCTGAACACTCAATCTCAGCCCCTCTTGCCACCCTCCTGCGTTTCTGTTCAGTTTGTTTATGTTATTTTTTACTCCCCCCATCCCCTGTGGCCCTCTAATGACACCATTCTTCTGGAAAATGCTGGAGAAGCAATAAAGGTTGTACCAGTCAGACTCTGCTTGCTGAGGAAGACCCAGGCCTAGTCAGGCATTGGCTTTCCAGATGCATCTGGGCAGGGGGTGGGGGCCAGATTGCGACAGTTAGAAAAGATGTGATAGGAGAGAATGGAAGGGAACAGCCTCTTTTCTGCGCTAGGTACTAAGCATGGCACTCTACAGAGGTTACCCACTTACTCCCTAACACCACCCCATAAGGTCGGTGATGAAACTCCCATTCTCTAAAAAACTAAGTCTCAGAGAGGGGAAGTGATGTGTCTAAGCCCACAAAGATAGGATTTGTTAGTATTGGGGTTTGAATGCAGGTCCATGGTTGAGTAGGTGGGTGGATGGATGGATGGATGGATGGATGGATGGATGGATGGATGAACGGATGGATGAATGGGTGGGTGGGTGGATGGATGGATGGATGGATGGATGGATAGATGGATGGATGGATGGGTAGATGGGTGGGCGGATGAGTAAATGGATGGATGGGTGGGTGAATGGATGGATGGATGAATGGGTGGATGGGTGGGGGGATGGATGGATGGATGGATGGATGGATGGATGGATGGATGGATGGATGAGTGGGTGGATGGATGGATAGACACATAGATGGATGGATACCATTAAGACTTTTTGTTACAAATCACAGAACCCCAACTCAAGTAACTTAAGCTAAAAAGGAAGGAAACAAAGGACTAGATTGGCTTATGTGCCTGAATAGTTAGGGGTAGGTCTTCAGGAACAGCTGGATCAAGGGATTCAAGTGATATCATCAGGACTAAGTCCCTCTTTTCCTCTCTCTGAGCACTGCTTTCCTTTGTGCTGAATTTGTTATCAGGAGGGCTCTGCCTTCATGATGGCAAGATTCCCGCAGCAGCTCAAGGTGAACATTCAGCATTACCAGCAAAAAAAAAGAATTTCTTGTTCCCAAACACTCTATCAGAAGGCCCCAAATTTAGTCCCATTAATACTAGCAACTAACGTTTACTGAGCACTTACTCTGTGCTGAGTCCTTTACAGGATTCCATCTGCACAACTGCCCTATGAAATGCGTGCTATTATTACATCCCTCGTATGGATGAGGAAACTAAGGCACGTAGAATTTAAAAGTCACACAGCAACCACGGGGAGGATCAAGGACCCCAACCCCAGCATCACCTCCAGAGCCTGTATCCCTTCCTGAGTCAGACACAGAGGCCGGGAGGAGGGATCCTGATTGGAGACAGGTGGAGTCAGTCACACACAAGGCTCATGGCCTGAGGGTGGGAGAGGGGCACCCCTGAGGAAATGAAAAGTGGGGACAGATGCTGGGGGTGAACATGGCCTATAGAATGACTTCTGCTGTTCCCCAAGACAGCCTTGGGGAAGTTATCTTAGATTTCCCTGGGTGGGGACGGGGCATTGGAGTGGTAGTCTCTCTCTCACCAGACCCCATGCCCTGCACCTCCCCTGCTCTCTGAGGTGTCGCCCTTAGGCAGGGCTGTCAGGAAGCCTCTCCCTGAGGGCCCAGCCCGGGGCAGACAACCCATCAGGACCCAGGCTGAGGGGCAGGGATGGGCAGGCCCCATCCAGGGTGGTAGCCAGGCTCAGAGCAAGCAGTCCTAGGCCTGGGAGGGGACTCAAGGCCAACACTGGGAACTGGGTCAACACAGCAGCTGCCAGGGGCTCAGCCAGGTGCCAGGGCCTGCATAAAGGTGGCATGTGAGCCAGAGGTGGAGAACGTGGGAATGGGCGTGGGAGTGGGAATGTGCACGTGCATGTGGGCAGGCATGAGGGCACTGGTATACACACATGCTTGTCACAACAGTCAGGACCAATGCAGACTTGGGTCTCCATGTGGGGTCTCAGAGGGCCCAACTCTGGACACCGAGGTGGGGTTGGGGAAGAGGAAGAGGGCCCACCCCATGCTGGGTCTCTGTGGAATGCAGGCGGAGGGGCGGGGGCTGGGGAGCTGGAGCATTTCACCCAGAAACCAGGTCAGAGCCCTGTGAGAGGACAGGCAGGTCAGGATGACCGTGACAGCTGCCCGCCGGCCTGGAGTGGCCTCAGTGCCTCTTGTTCTGCACCTGCATGACAGCCCACACCATGCAATTCAGACTCAGGGCAGCAAATGGTGCGGCAGCCACGCATCGGAGAGCATGGCCCTTTGACCTCTCCGGGGATGCAGGGCATTGGCTCCAGGACCCTGTTTTGAAAAGACTCTGCCTGGCACCTGGGAAGGTCAAGGAGGAAATGGCTTCCCTGCAAAGGCTCAGGGCCCCTGTGCTGTTGCTGCAGGATAACAGAGGCAGCAGTAATGGCGGCCACCTTGGGGCTGGGAGGGTTCTATTTACTAAACCACGACATCTCATTCCCTCCTTTCAACAAGCCTCGGCAATAAGCACTACCATTACCCCTTTTCAGGCAAGAAAGCCAAGGCCCTCTGGGGACACACAGCCGGCAAGAGGCAGAGCTGGAATTAAATGCAGGGCTTAATGACTCAACATACCACTGTGCACAGCGCAGGGTGACAGCGCTGGGCATCTTGTGGAGCGGGGATGGGAGGGGAGCACAGGAGTGTGGCAGGGGAGGTGAAATGACAAGGGACAGCCTTGCTGACCCCAGCAGTCATTCGCCAAGCCCTCTTCCTCCTGACTCCCACGTCGTGCTCCACCCAGCCATGTCTCTTGCCCTTGGCCACCACCTGAATCTGGGCCCCATCACAGGTGGGATTGGGCCCGACATAGAGGACCCTGGCAGCCTGGGTCTCCCATTTGTAAAGAGTCTCCAGTTCAGACACGGGCATCTGTTCAAATGCGACTAATATCCAGTCAGTGTCTCTAACACGGGTTTGGCTTCTTTCTACACTGCAACCTTCACTGTGTCGAGGGGGCTGGCTTCTCCCCGTCTCTGGGAGACACTGGTGGGACCGCCCTTGTGTCCATGAACCACTGCAGTGGTCCCCAGCCTGTCTCCTGGCCTCCTCTCCCCTTCCCTCTCCCCTCTCCACCCAGAGCCCAAGGGCTCTTTCCAAAACATAGATCAAATCACATTGTTCTGCTTAAATCTTTCCAGTGACTGCCCAATCTATAGACTCAAATCCCGGAGCTAAACACAGAGTTCCTGCCTGCGGGCATGACCCAGCCTCCATCCCAGCCCTTCTCCCTCAGCCTGGCCCATTCTGCCTCCCTGTCCTCCCCAGTCCCCCTTTCCCTGGCTCAATCCTCTTCATCCTCAGGAATCTACTCTGGGGCATCATCCCCAGCTGAGGTTAGAGCCCCTGCACCACTCCTGTAAGTGAAATGAAAAACAAAAAAAAAGCAATATGTGACAATCTGATTCCCGTCCAGCTCTCCCAAAGACCACGCAATGCCTGAGAGCAGGGCACATCTGCAGGGGTCCTGCTAAATCCCAGAACCTGGCATCGAAAAGATGCTGGGCTTCACCCACCCTGATGCAGATGTGGTCATAAAGGCCCAGCGTGGCTTGTGACTCACTGAAGGCCATACAGCAGTGCAGAGCAGAACAGGGCTTGGCCCCTGGCCCCTGCTGTGCCACCCCTGCCGTGGTGCCATCCATAGGGACCTGCTAACTCAGTAAGGAATGCAGGCATGACAGGAAGCCCTCCCTGCCCAGCATACCCCTCTGTGGCCCGGTATCACTGGGCTCCAGTTCCTCAGTCTCCAGCCACCCCCACCCTGACACCTGCACCACCAGCCACCTCTGGGTTTTCTCATCTGTTGAATGCAGCTCCTTCTCTTCATTGTCGTGGTCAGAGGAGGTCTGCTGCTTATCTCTATGCCTTTTTGTCTGAGAGGCTGGGAGCAGGAAGGAGAAAGATCAGGCCAGAGGAAGGGCCCCAAATCAATCTGTCTCTGAGTGGTTTTAATAAGAGCTGGGAGGGCCCAGCTTCATGGAGTGAGTGACGAATGATCACTGGATCCCTGGATCTCCTAGCCCTGGTCCCAGAGCTAGGAGACAGGGGACTCAGGGGAGAAGGAAGAGCCAGGAGCATCAGAACAAAGACTCCATGGAGAGAAAGGATGGGTGGGAAGTTGGGATTGAGCTGCCCTCTGCTATCAACCATGACCCTGGATAATATTACTGTGCTGGGCTGTAGCTCTGGGGCTGGACAGAGCTGGATTCCAAATCTGCGTCTTCCTCCTTCTTGCTGGACACTTTGCATATACCATCTGCTATGGTCTGAAGGTTTGTGTCCCTCCAAAATTTACAGTCAAAACCCAACTCTCAAGGCGATGGTATTAGAAGGTGGGGCCTTTGGGAGGTGATGGGTCATAGGAGTGGAACCCTCATGGATGGGATGAGTGTCCTCACACAGGAGCCCTGAGGGAGGCTCCTAGCCCTTTGCCCTTTCACCATGTGAGGCTATAGCAACAGGGAGCCATCTGTGAAGCAGGAGCCCTCACCAGACACCGAGGCTTCCAGCACCCTGATCTTGGACTTCCCAGCCTCCAGAACTGTGAGCAATAAATTTCTGTTGTTTACAAATCACCCAGTCTAAGGTATTTGTTATAGCAGTCCAAATGGACTAAGGCACTGTGTCTTAATCCACACTGTAGCCATCCAAGGAAGAGATGTCTGTCTGTTTTATACAGGAAGGTTCAGAGAGGTTAGGCAACTTGCCCAAACCACACAGCCAATAAAAGTGAAAATTGCAAACATGTATTCACTGACTTGACAAATAATTTCTGAGTGCCTACTTGTGCCCGACACAGCTAAACACTTTAGAAGGATGACTTCATCGAAGCAATCACTTCTCAAAGCATTCAGCCTCTTTCCCTCTCTGCCTTCCCAATAAAGATTCCCCGTCCCCAAGGCATCTGCGGCCGCTCAGACACGTTAGTCTAGGAAGATTCAAATTGGGTGAATCTGATGTTGGTTTATTTAGACCCAGAAGACTGTTTACAAGAGGCGGTTCAGCAAATGGGACAGAGGCCTGGTATTTTTGGCTCCCTTCTTATCCTCCTGCCTCGGTATCCCTTATCCAAATGCTTGGGAGCAGAAATATT